CAGGTACCTCAGGCTTTGTCAGGAGCTCAAGGTCAGGAGACTTCATGCCGTCTAAGAGACGTCTGTGACAGGGAAGTGGGGGGTCTCCCGCCAGTGTGTCCCAGCAGCGCCATCCAGCTATGCACCTCACACACTCCAGAGCCTTGGGACCTCTGAGTACCCAGGTGGTGCACCCAAGGGACAAGAGTTCACAGTCTCTGGTGACTGGATCATGGGCTTTCTCTGGACTGAAACCACCCTTGGCCCCTGGCCCTGCACTAGCCCCTGACACCTGATCCTGAGTCACAGGGCTACCCTCCATATTCTAGACGATTTGGCACCTTTGCTCAGGCATAGTTGCTGACCTCCAGACTGATGTGTTCCCTCAAGGTGGAGATGAGCAGTGGGGATCTCGGGATCCTAGGACAAGGGATGGGTCAGCAGGTGTGTGGTTGGCCTGCGTGGCTGCAAGCGCTGTCTGAAGCTTTACAGCTGGGCAGGTCTGTCAATGGGCAGATGTGGCAGACTCCCTGCAGGTCTGGCCTGGGCTAAGTTGTGGTTGCAACTTAACAATTCTGTTCCAGAACAAATGGGTCTTTATCGGTCCTGGTCGGGTGGAGAAGCTCACGGTTGGAGAGGTTTGGATCGTAGGAAGCTATGTGGACTGTGGAGTAATCCCAGGTGCCTCCAATAAACTCCTCAAATGATTAGAATTCAAGTTAGAGCTAAGGGTAGGGGGTCAGAGCTTTGTAACCCAGTCTGGCAGCACTTTAGGACTCAAGCAACTGGCATTTCGCCCCAGGCAGGGCCCAGTGCTTTGCGGATGTGAGGGGTACTAGTCAGAGAGGGGCCGTCATGCCATGGAGACACAGGAGAGTGCTGGCCAGGGCTTTGCAGGCTAAGAAAGAGGTTTTACTTTGAGGTCAGATGACTCTGTTGGTCCAGAGGAAGCCAGGGATTTGGAGATGTCCCTGGCCTGTGTGGGCCCCCTCCTCCGCAGGTCCCACACTGTGCCCAGTGCTCTGTGAGTCACCTGAAAGGCCCTGTTCCCCTGAGCCATTTATCAGGGCTGACATTACTGTGGCACCGCACTGGGCCTTGAGGGGGTGGCCGGGCTGGATTAGATTTCGAGCTCCCCAGGAGCTATGATACAGAACAGAGGAGGGAGGGCTTTGATCTTCAAGTCCTGGCACTTGGATCTCGAGTGGGCATGTGCTGACTGAGGCTGGGGAGGCGGGCCTGGGAAAGGACCTGAAATCTTGAGTTCTGATGGACACAAGGAGAAAGGGGGCATAACAAGCTGATAGAGCCCCCACTGTGTGCCCACTGGCACTGGAGTTGCAGTGGGGGTTCAGATGAGGTGGGGTCCCATTTGCCCCATCCACGGCCAGATGCTTCTCCTGAGAGACCCGTGGAACTCCAGGTACGGAGCCCAGAAATGGAGCCATCGCCCCCACCCTTTGCAGTCTGACAGGACTCTGTCCCTGCGAGGCTGGACTCCGTCATGACTCTCACTCACCAGCATTTCCACACCCTGGGCTTTAATGAAGCAGCAGGTGTCAGTTACAGAAATGTGTCCCCAGGCACCACCACCCCCAATACCCACCCACATCCTTGTCTGCCAGCCCAGGGCCAGCAAACTCACACCCCAACCCAGCAGTAAGTTGTTCCTAATGCTTTTCCAATCAATTTCCTGCAGGGCTAACCCCGGGAGATGGCAGGAGCCCAGAGGCTGCCTTTGATCCTCTTACATGATTTCCATCCTTCTATGGATATGATAACACTCTATAAGGCTTCCTTAAACTTGGAGAAATGACTTTACTCAATAGTACCGTTCTTGGGTGAGTCTCTTGGCTAAATGAGAAATACACATTTAAGTAATCTTCTTAGTAGGAAAAACAATGAATAAATGAAAGCAAACTCTTGTCCTTCCAGCCATCCTCTAGGAGGTAACTCTGGCAGACCCTCCCCAGCTGTTTGAGGGAGGGCACAGGGGCTGTGTGGTGATAGAAGGGCCCACAGTCTGAGGACTATCCATAGCGTTGGAGAGGGAGCCCGCAGGATAGGCAGGTCCCATGGCTGTCCAAACAGGGACATAAGGACAAGCAGGCTGGGAGGAGTACCCGGGACTGTCCGAGCAGTGGGAAAGGAGGGAGGGGCAGCTCAGTCACTTCTCCAGGCATGCCCCCGCAAACTGCTGCTCATCCCCCTATCATGGGTTCTCAGTGGGGCTCATGATCCAAAAGAGGCCCTAGGGACAGGGCAAACTGGAGCAAGCTTGCGCTGGCTCTCAGTTCAAGTCCATGACCTCATCCTGAGTCCATGACCGGCCCTGCTCTGATCTGTCTCAGACCTGTCCCACGCTGATCCCTGTGCATGGGGGCTTGGCAGACAGTACAGACAGAAACCCTGAGAATCTGAATCGCCACTTCCTCACACCCAGCCCTCCACTCCCCACCCTCCACTCTGTGTCAGTGAGTGGACTTCTTTTAGATTGGAGACAATGCCAGAGAACAGCCACCTGTGGCCTAAGAGTAGCCCCAGAGACCTTGCGTGTGCAGGCTGGGTGTATAAAAACCCTTCGCCTCACGGGGCCCCTGGTGCAGGGAAATGATGTGTCAGGTTCCCCTAAGAGCAAACAGCAACTTACTTTCAGGTTTGGGCAGATTTTGGTGAGTTCTTCCGTGTCCATATAAACCTTCATTATGTGGTGGTCCTGTTTGTCATATTTGTTAATGAGATCCTTCAGGGTGAAGGTAAAGTTCTTTGTAAACTCTCCATAGCAGAGCTCCTGAAACAGGGTTGGGGCTCTGGGATGGTGGTGGTGCACAGCAGGGCACCAGCTGACCCATCCTTATCCATCCCGGGGTAACCTGGCCGGAAGGAGCCCTGGACCCAAGCTCAGGCCCTACCCTGATTCTCCCACAAGGAGACCTGTGGCCTTGCAGGCCGAGTAGTGGAGACAGTGGGCATCTGCTCTCTCCCTGGGCTCAGGGCTGCACTTGGTTGGGAGGCTCGCCTGCTGGCTAAGCTGGAGGTTCCCTCCCCACACTCTGAACTTTCTCACTCCACCATTGTTATCTCTTCCCTGGGCACTGACTGCTGGGATCTCTCTCTCCTTGTTCAAATGTGGTGTGAAAGGTCGCGGGGTAGCTGTTTCTTACCTCACTGGCTTTCTGGGGCCTATTGAAGGAACCCTAGAAGCCAGATAAATTGGTCAGGAGCACAAAGGGCCACTAAGAGCAATATAATATTGGATGGAGACCCAGACTTACCTTGTATGTGTTATTGTCAGCCAAGAGTTCTTTCTGAATCTCAGCACAGATTACTGTGTGATTTTTGTGGGGAGACGTGGCTACTTTCACTGGGGAAGAATGGTTTTCTGATTCCCGGAGCACATGAGCCAGGAGCACGTACAGGTACATGGTATTACTTGAAGGTGACTCCAAGCTGGTCTGAGCCCTGAGCTTGGCAGCATTTCTGTGGAGAGAGGTACCTATATATGTGAGTCTAAGGAAATTTGAAACCTCTTATCAGTCATCACTGGCTTATGCGGAAAACAGAGAGGACCTTATCGCTGGGCAAGATGTAATTTTCATGCATTTTCAACAACCACAGCACACTTCATGCATTCTTCCCTGTGCTGATATTCAGGCTTCGTCCTGAGTGTTCACCCTGACTTCTTATTTGTAATCACACCTGAAGTCACAGTCTTTCTGCATGAGCATGGAGTGGGTCTCTGGCCAGGCCTGGCGCCGTCTGCAGGTGCTGACTGAAGCAGAGAGAGCAAGTGGGGTGGTGGGCACATGACTGAGGACAGTGCCAGGCAGAGGCTAAATCTGCCACAGGCCAGCTTCCCCAGGCCCACCTGTCAAGGAGAAGCTGGCCCTGCTGCCCACCTGATCCTCGGGGCACATCCTCTTCCTCATAGTCCCGGAGGGAGATGAGAGAACAGGTTCAGGTACAAGGCCTTCAGCCCAGCTATCAAAGCAAGGAGGAGGAGGCCTGCTTTGTTTTTAGCCTGCAGGCCATGAGTTTTAGGGAAAAGTGCCTGATTAGATTCAAAATTTCATGTAAAAATAAAAACCAATTCAGAAAAATCCTGCACTACAGCCATGTACCAACAAATTATGACCTTACATTCTGACTCTCAGAGATTAAGATCACCCATTTGGGGGCAAGTTTGGTAAATATGTTGCATTCTGACACCTGTGGTTTGGTTTCTTTTCCCCTGAACAGTTAGTCTATTTGTTATTTACTTTCGGAGTGGTTGAATCTCAGAGTATGAGGGGCAGCACGTGGGGCACAGGGGCCAAGGCCTCTACAGGGCGGGTATTTTACCTGATCCCAGGGTGGGCCTGTTCAGCCAGTGACCAGCCAACCCCCAGGCCTCCCCAGGAAGGGTGATGCCCTTCTCTGGGACAAGATTTCCCTGGACTGGGACTTCTAGGTGAACTTGAGAGCCATTCTCTGGGGTGGGAGCCCTGAAGCATCCAGGGAAGCCCGTCCAGGTGCGCAGAATTCCGCACCTATGCCCGGCTCTCACCTCCCCTCTGCTCTGACAGTGTTGGCCCTTGGATAGTGCCAAACCCCTGGCAGGCCCCCACCCCCTCCCCACCCCGCTGTTTCCTCCCTTCCCTGCCTCTTGGGAAGGCAGGCACCACCAGCATCTGCTCATGGTTGAAAACAAACTAGAACACTGGACACATAGAAGCAGATTTTTAATAATAATTATTATGGTAAAACATTTTGAATAAATATGGAGTATGAACTTAAATAAATAAATAAATAAATATTTAAAAAATATAAATATATAAATATTACTGATTTCTGTCAGTATAAAATATTCCCATTCTTCTGCCATGCCTGTATCAGGGTCAGTGTGGCCCAGGGCAGGTCCGGGCCACTCCCACCATGGCTGTGCCCATCCCTTGGTCCCTCCAAGATGACCATCCTGAGTTTCTAGCTCTTGTTTCATGAGAGAGCAGCTCCCCGGCTTGGCCAGCCTCATCCAGCCGGCCTTACTCCTGGACTGGCTCCCAGCAGTCAAAGGGGATGACAAGCAGAAAGTCCTTCAGGTTTTCTTTGAAACTTTGGAAGGTGATAATCTGGGTTGCACAGGAAGTTTCCTTTAAAAAAAGAAAAATAAAAAACACTTGAGTCCAGGCAAGTGGGTAATGTGGGGAAAGCACCAGTGTGTTTCTGTACTGCCTCTTAGAACTCAGAGACCAGGAGGCCCACTCCAGGACCCACACAATGACCTGGGTCAGGTGACACTGCTGCCACCCACGTGTTCCCCAAGGAGTGCATAGCTCTGCCGGTGACAGCCAGAGCCAAGGGTCTGACTTAAGTGCCAGCCTGAGGTTGGCCTTCTGGGCAGTCAGACGCCTGCCTCTTTTGGTCCCAGACCAGGGCAGAGCAGGGCGGCTGGGCTGAGGTCGTCTCTGGGCACCCAGAAGGAGTGGAGTCAAGGCCACAGACTTTGCTCCCTTCCCGCAGGAAAGAGTGCCTGAGGTCCTTGTCCATTCCAAGTAGCCTCCCTTCCTTGATCCTCTGCAATTCAGGCACCCCATCTGGGGCCAGAGGAAAGTCCTGCCAGGAGGTGGCACTTGGGCCTGGGCACTTCCTCTGGCCCTTGGGCAGGCCCCAAGTTTCCTTGGGTTTGCCTCACCTCTGACCTCATTAACCATAATGACAATAATGACCAGGATAGGAGCAGCTTCTGCTGGGAGCACTGTGGGCTTCAGTGCTCTGTGGCTCTGACTCCTTGGGATGAAATGGGCTATCTGCCTCCTCTCTGGAGGGCTAATCATTACATAACTGTTGGCACAGAAACCCCCTGGGATCTTGAACAGCCACAGCCACAGATCTCCCCCCATGTCGACCCCACCCCCTAGATTAAGACATTCCTGCTGGAGGCCCTGCCATAGGCACTCACCGGGGTTGGAGGGCAGTGCTGCTTGTAGTGGCTGGCCATCATGGTCAAGGGGCCCTTGAGCTTGGTGAGGCTGCCCTGCAGGCCCTGCTTGTACAGCTCCAGGCGGGTCTGTAGGCAGCTCGGCTCCTGTGGAAAACGTTGTTCCTCGGTGAGCAGCGGCCAAGTGCCTGCAGTGGCATGGGAACTCTCCACCATTCCTTTCTGCTGCTGTCCCCAGCCCCCAGGAGTAGGGCATGGGAGGGGCACAGGCTGGGTCCAGTCATACACCCTGCTCTATCCATGGCAGGCACGAGCCAGCCCTTCTCACTGCCGAGCCCAGACCACCCTCAGCGGTACCTGGAGAGGATCCCAGCCTTAGGGAAGGAGGTGATTCTCACCCCATCATTCAGGGAGAGGGGGGCGGGGCCTCACCTGGACCTGCTGGACCCCTCTGTGTCCCTCTGTAGTCAGCACTGTCTCAACAGGACTTGGTCTCAGGGCACAGTGAGCACCCCAAACCTGCAGCTCCTGTCTCATGAAGTGACCCCCACTTTACCACCTGTCCCCTGGTGACTCCTGGCCCTTGAATGCTAGGTCTGCCCATGGCCACTCAGCTGATAAAGGAGCTCATGTGACTGCCACAGGGGCACGGCCAGCAGCCTCTTGAGCACCCAGTTGCTGCCCCCTCCCCCTGCAGCCAGCTGATGAGAGAGAAAGTGGACAACCTTGTGAGGTGCCATCTAAAATGGAGCCCCCACCTCCACCCCAGCGCAGGGGCTCCTGCAAAGCTACGTCAGAGAAAAGCGTCTTACCTGGAGGTCAAACATTTCTGAGACGACTTCTACGGTTTTATTCTGTAGAAAAGGAAAATGTCATGTTATCAAGCTGACAGGCATAGCCGGTCCGGGGCCAGCGGGGTGGCCTAGGCACGGGCCCACACTCTCTCTCTCACTTACCATCTCAGCAGCAGTGTCTCTACTCAGGTTCAGGAGACGCCGGGCCTCCTGGATGGCATTCACATGCTCCCAGGGCTGCGTGCCGGGGCTGGGCGAGCGGGCGGGTGCAGAGATGCTGCAGGCCACAGTGCCCAAGAGCAGCAGGCCCTGCAGCCACATCCTCCAGAGAACTTTAGCCTTTCTCTCTGTGTACTGGGCTCACTGGCAAAAGAGCTCTTAAATACACAGAGGAAATGATTAATGGTGACCACAAAACGCCAGGGAGGCGGGGGAACTACCTGAACTGTGGAATCTCCTGGCCCTTATCAGCCACACATGGGAACGGTGAGCCTTTTCCCTAGGTGGTCAGGCTTGGGGGTTTTCATTAATGAACCTTTCCAAGAACCAACAGCCCATCCGCCCGCCTCCCTGAGGGCTCTCCAGCCCTCCCTCTCCAGCAGTCTGAATGGGCCTGAGGCTGCCCCCTCCCTCTGAGGGGCACAGTTTGGACTTCCTGGCCTGGAATGGCTGGGGTGGGGTGTGGGAGACACTTAGATAGGGCTCCCCATCCTGTCTGTAATCCCAGGGGCCTTTGGGCAGGCCATGCCTGCCCTGGTGCCTCATTCTGACTCCAGCCTTCCTCTTCTCTGGCCACTGTGAGAGACTTGAGTGTGAGGGGAGCTCTCACAGACCTGCCCCACTGACGGTTCACCTGGGCTCCCACCCAGGACCTGGAGCAGCCGGCAACCTCAGTCCAGTAAGGGGGGACCCCTGCCCCTGTGAGCAGATGGAATGACCACCATGTGCACAACCAGCAGCAAGACTGCAGCCGCTCTCAGCAAGCTTCAGAGAGGGTGGGGCTGGGCCAAGTCAGGACCCAGAGTCTGACCCTTGGCTCTGGAGCCACCTTGCTGAGTGACTCCTCTCTCTGGTTGTATGAACCTTGACTCCCTCTGCAGAGCAGGTTTGCCCCTCTGAGGTGGATGCTACACTCCTACATGTAGCCCCCAGGAGGCACCAGGAGCTTCAGGCTGGCTTCAGGGCTGTGGCTGCACCCATCTCAGGTACAGGGACAATGGCTTCCCCAGCAAGGCCCTCCAGGCTTAATTTCCTACATAGCCCCAGTACCCCCAACTCCTGAGGCTTTTCTGTGGAAGTAGGAACTGCTTCTGGAAAGCTAAAGGCTCTTGAGGGGCTGATAAGTGTTTGATTTTCACAATGGAGTTCAGAGAAGACAGCACGAGTTTGTGTTTGCACAAGGTATCTGGCTCAAGCTGCCCCGTGGCTGGGTTTCATAGCTAAAGGGGTGTGGGCCCACACGTGCCCATTTCTAGGTGTATGTGTGCCGCTGTGATTGGTTGCATCTGTACATATAGGTGCATGGTGGAGGGGAGGATGTTTTCCATGCAAGTGCATCTATGTGAGTCCTCTTACCTGCTTTATGAAAGGCTCCAGGCCTCTGAAGGTGACCCTGATACTGGAGAAGCTCCCCACCCCAGGTACAGTGCCTCTGGGCCCTAGAGGCTGATTCAGCCTAAACCAATGGGGTTGGACACAAGCGAGAACATTCTGCTGGACTCAGGTTGGTGAGCCTTCAGAGAGCAGGTGGAATTCATGGCTTTAGCACTGTGGTCTGAGTCTGCAGCCCTGGCAAGTTTCCCTGTATCGTGGGAGTTTTTCTGACCTTGCATAGAGAAGCCAAACCTTAGTCCTCCACACCTCACTGTGAGGCCAGGTCCATCCATCTGAGCCTGCGTGGAACACTCCTAGGTGGCCAGGCTGGGTTGGGAACATGAAATGTCCAGGCCCTGGCCCTTCCTCCACCTTTTTTGCAAGACCTTGGCTCAGCTCTTTCCAGGGAGCTCTCGGGAGGGAGATGAGGACATGGATACTACACGTAGATATCACATGTGTTGGATAGCACCCTGGAGGCTGGAGGGCAGGGAAGGGAGCCATAGACAGTGGTTCAGCTGATGGCCAGGGAGGTACAGAGCCTGTACGACCCATCTGGGAGGGAAGGTCACTTTCCTCCTAGAAATGAGTTGTCATAGCTCAGTCAGTCAGTCAACAAGTCTTTCCAATCCACACCAGGCCCTATTCTGGGGAGAAGGTGAACGGGACCCTCCCACTGGCCCTCACATTTGGCCCTTGAGGCTCTCGGTCTGGTAGGAAACAGACTGCAATGGACCCTCCCACGGTGTGACCTTGACTCGGCAGGGGGAAGTCCAGAGCTGAGGGATCCCAGAGAGCCACCTTCTCTAGCTTGGGGATCCAAGGGGACCAGAGAACTTCCCCAGAGATCCTGCCTGCAAGCCCAGGTTGGAAGGAGATGGGCAGGAGAGGACAGGGGAGAATGTTCTGGGCACAGGGAGCCCTAGGGTTTTAGGAATGGGTATAAGGAACAGGAGGCAGACTCTAGAGAGATTGAGGAGGTAGAATCTCAAAAGGCCTTGGTGCTACAGTGAAGTCACTCAGTCATTCATTATTTTCTGAGCACCTACTAGGTTCCCAGCAGGGAAAAGGGATATAAGGATGACAAAAACGGTCAAGGTCCTGCCTCCAAGAACTTTTTAACCCCATCCATGGAGGAGCAAGATTAGTCTACTCTCCCCCTCCCCACCAAAGCGTGCTTTGAATGTGTGTAAGAGGAGTTAGAATCACTGTCCACATGGCTAAGATAAGGACCCAGGGGACAAAGGAGCAGGTCTTCAGAGTGCGAGGCCCACAGGAAGTTTTGGAGTTTCAGAGGCTGCATGTACAGGAGACAGATCTGGCAGCGGTACACGTCCGTGTGGTAGCTGAGGCCACGGAAGTTATTCCGGAAGAAGAGCTGAGGGCCAGCAAAGCTGTGTTTAAGGGCTAGGACATAACAGATGGGCAGGTAACAGGCCAGTGGCCAAGGGCCTAGGAGGGAAGGAAAGGAGGAAAGCAAGAGTCATAATGAGAAATCCATTTCGGCAGTGGTGGCCTGCAGGTGCCCAAGTCAGCACATACGGGGCAGAAATTCATGGGTTTGGTGATGAGGTTTGTGGGCAGCCACACATCTTTCTCATGGAAAGATGACATCAGGGCTGAGGCCGTGACACAGGCTGGCATTCCTAGATTGCACCGTATTTTAAACAGTGTGAATAGATAGCATCCAGCCAGCCATGCTGACTCAGGGGCTCCAATGGGTCTGTGGCAGGGCAGAGGCGGGGACCACGATGGGTGGTATGACCCCTCTGGGGCCCCCCTTCCTACAGGGACAGGAGAAAACCCTCTGGAAGGAGTTTCCTATGCGTGTCCACCCCACAGGCTCTGTGGGAAACAGGGGCTTGAGTCACTCCAGGATTCTTATCATGAGAGACGTTATCACAAGCGGAAGGAAATGGGCCTCAAAGTCCCTTCGGTCTCATGGCACCCCTGCACAGACTTCAGGGCTGATCTGATCTTCTTAGACCTGTCCACCCCTTGGTGAGGGTCCTTGTTATCTCTGGGGGCCTGAGATCTGGGAGACCAGTGGTCGGCCCAGTCCACACAACCAGTGACCACAGAGTCAGAATTTGAACCCGTATCCATTTCTGCTATCCTAACGTTTTCCATTGTCTTGGGGTCAGGAAGCTGGGAAATGCTGGTCACCTGATTGGACCAGCAGGGAGTGGATCCAGCATGCTTGTCCCCTCAAGGCAGCTGTAAAGAGAGATGCCTGCCAGGTGTGGGCAGGTAGGCTGGAGTGGTCTGTGACTGTCCCAGGGAAGTCTGGGGTGAAGGCAGAGTTTCCCCAGCAGATCCTGCCATCCAGGCATCTCTATGCCCTAGGCTTGGTCTCTTGTCCTTACCTAGCCACCACCGACACCTGAAGCATAGGAAAGTCCCTCCTCCCTGAGCCTCAACCTCTGCATCTGTACAATGGGTTAGTGGCCACTGCCTCACAGAGGAAACTGTTGCCTGCCCCAGGAAACTTTGTGGGAGATCCTCCCAGGGAAGAGGCAGTGCTTCGATTTCTCCTCTCCCCAGTGCTAGGAGAGATTTCTGAAGCCCAAACTGGTCAGAGGAGCAAGGCTTGCTGGAATTTCTAGGGACAGCTGCCCCTTGCCCAGCCCTAGCCCCAGAGGGCACTTTTCTGGACACACACGGTGAGGTAGGGAGTCCAGCCTCCACCCGAGTCAGGGCTCCCGGCTCCTGCATCACCGACAGGAGATCCTGGTACTGCATGGCACTGTGAGTGGTTTGCCCTTCCCTTGTCACTCCAGGCCACACCAGACACATGAAGCAACATCTCTGGCTTCTGCGGTTTCAGTCCCAGTCTGTCTGCACCTGCATCCCCTCTGTCTCAGTCCACAAATGTACACCTCAAAAAGGGAAGCTGCCCTGGCCAAGCTCCAGTTCCAGTTTGGTCTCTGGGTATTCCCAGGTTCCTGGCACTGGGAAGTCTTGACTGGCCTGGGAGGATCTGAGGGTGGTTAACCCTCAACCATGTGTGGTCTCTGCATCTATTCAGCCAGGCTTCCAGGAGGGTCTCCTGTGGAGTATGCACCTCACAGGCCCCTTGCACTCTAAGCGAGCTCACTTCTGGTGGTCCCATGGGGTGGGGGACAGGGAGCACAAGGTCCACACTCATAGTCAGAGACATGGAGGCCATTTGCTGTGATGGCGGAGACACGAGGCCACAGAGAGGTTTGAGAGGTCAGCCCATGCTGCCCTGGAATGGCAAGTTTGAGAGGCCAGGGGACCTTCAGGAAGACTCAGTCAGTTGTGGCCATGTGGGTCTGGAAGTCAGGGTATTTGGAAGTCACTGGTAAAGAGGAGGCTCCTGACACCAGAGGGGCCGTTGAGAGTGAGCCAGGCAGGAAGCAGTGGCAGGATGTCAACTTTTAAGGATGGCCAAGGACAATGAGACCTCCTTGTTTGCTTCTTTGTTCTTGGGGCTTCCTCGTTTTCCCTCAGGATCTGGCAACTCCACCATGCACATTACTCAGGCAGAGGAGTCCTTGTGGACACAAACACCCCGTGGGTGCGCTAGGCCTGCCCACCACAACGCCCTCCCCGACTTGTCTACTGCTTGCCCAGTGTACTCCCTCTAGGGCTGGAAATGCATCCCCTGCCTCTGAGTCTCTGCTCTGAGCCTCATCTCCAGCTGGGAGGGTCATCAGGCACCCAGAGGGGCCACTGCCTGTGTCTGCCCTCTTGGGAAGAGCCATCAGGAGGTGCATTAAAAATC